CCGCCCCGCCCGGCGCAGGAGGGGATGCGTGCGGAGGGATTCCCCTTCCCCGAGAGCGAGCTGGCCGGTGACGAGCGCTCTGTCCCGCCTCGCCGGCCGTGCGAGGAGGTTCGTGCTCCCCCCTCCTCGGGCTGCGTCTCCCTTTCCCCTGCGGTCCCTCCCCAATGTTTGTTTTACGTGCGGGTGCAGGACGGATGCTCGTTCTTTCTCTGTGATCCCCAGGGCTTGAGCCATACTTCTTTTTCCTCAGGCATCCACTTTTTTTGTGAGTGTCTTAAGGAGATTTGCTCATTTCCTTCTCTTTGTTCCTGCTACGTTCCCCCAGATATCTGTCGGCAGGAAGGAAGGAGAAGACCCCGTTCACTCTGATTGCGGTGATTTTGCCGATTTCTAGCATGCCTGGAAGGCTCAGCTTTCAGATGCAGGAGTGACGGGTAGTTTTGAAGTCTGCTGTGCTTGCTCCTATCAGAGATCGGTGGCTGTTTATCCTGTGACAAAGTGTGATATGTTTAGATCTTGTGCTAGACAAGATTAGATGGGTAGCACGTGAAATGGATGTCACTTGTAATTCCTGGCTAATATTAAATGTATAGCTACTGGCAGCTATGAGATTGCTTTATACGTAGTAACACTTGAAGAGGCCTTGGCAGCTTGACATGATTTTTTTTTTTCTGCTGCCATTGGAAGAGCATAAGAAGTAGGACAATGTCAGTTCCACTTGTCAACATTCGCTCTGCTAACCTGAAATTGGTATGTTTCTAACTCAGCATGGTCATAGAAGTTCATGCCCCTGCAGGGTTGTAGCCATGGTGGGATGCTGTATGAATGACCCTGAGAAGTTTGTGGTTAGATACTCTGGTAGCTGGTAAAGACTCCAAAGTATGCAATAGATTAATACTCTACATTACCATTTCTATATAAGAAAATTTGTTTGAAAATTTGTTTCATGAATTTTGAGTAAGTGCTGAATAGGAAACTTTCTCAGGTGTTCCTTTTATTCCTTAGATACCAGGATCCAGCTGTGCCATGACAGTTTGATAGTGTGACTGTTACATGGTGCACTGCCAAATTCCTAAAATATCTCTTTATGTTACTCTAAATTGCCCTCTTTTGGTACTAAAATTAGTGTTTTCTCTGCAAACTTCGGTCTTGTATAACTTTTTATTTAGCTGGGAACAGTGATCTCTCTACTTGCAGTACTCAGTACTGGCATGAAAAACCTTCAGTTTCTTTTTTGGGGGATCATTTGCTTCACCATACTCTACAGGAGACTTTCCTTGAGTAGAGATTATAGGGCTGTAGTGAATCTAATTGTCATGTTGCATAAGGCTCACCTTTCCATCTCTTGTGAAGATTCTGGCTTTTGCTCTCATCCCGTGATAACCCTTGAAAGTTGAGTGGAGGTCAGAGTTGTGTTAAATTAATGTTGCTTTAATGTACATTTCCAGATTTAGAAGGGTGGGTGTAAAATGTCTGTCCATTTACTTTCAGCTTTTTTCTGGTTAGAGTCAAAGCAGTGTCTCTGTTTATCTTATCTCAAAAGTAATCAAATAGGAAATAAGAATCACCTGATGCTAGTACGTGGTAAGGGGGGGAGGGGGCTGTATCCCAGAACTTGTATTATTGGAGCAGCTGGTATAACTGGAAAAACTAAAACAGTTTTGTCTGTATGCAAACCTTATCTTGGTATGTTGTCTTTCAAACTGTATATGAAATAATCTTGAGTAAATACAAGGAGGAATTTCAAGTTGACTTGCTTGCGCCATGGTTTGCAACTGAGCTGCTGTTCTGGGTCTCTTAGTATTCTTGTTATGTACTTTTTTGGGGGTGGGTGTGTTTTATTCATAGAACAGCTAGAAGCAATGTTCCTGTTTTGCGATGATTTGGCAATTCTTTTACTTACAGTGTTCTCTTTCCTAATTGTTACTACAATAAAAGCTATTTAATATTTTGTGAACTTCATATGATTTTCTCTTTTAGGGTGGAACTTTTAATATGAAAAAGTGATAATCTGCACAAAGAAACATTTAGTGCTATAGAAATAAGATTGCATATTAAGTATCAGTGGTGGAGTTACACATTCTGTCCTCAGGAGTCACTTGCATGTTTGGAACAGTAGAGTTGGACAGGCTATTGAGCCTGTCGGCTCTAGTGTAATCAGCTATGTGAACATACACTGTAGACTACATAGTGAGACCATTTTTCATCTTTTTTGTGTGTCATTAATTAAAGTGGTGACTCAGCTTAAGCAATCTAGAATACTGTAACATTTTAAAAACAAAATGCAGTGTCATGACAAGGAAAGTTAAGTGTATCTTTTTCATGTTTTTTGGCAGAAGATCTTCATGTAACTGGCTGAAAAATGGTTCTGCAAGATGACAGCACCAACTCGAACACTGTTAAAATGGTAAATATATTTTAAAAAAAAGACTTAAAAAGATCTCCATGTTACTTGCTGAAAACTATAATGATATTAAGACATGCCTCTTAAATGAATATTCCTTCAAATGTCAAATTTCAACTGGTATATCTAAAGTTACACCATGTGGAAAGTATGTTTATTTCCTAATAATGGAAACAAAAGGCAAACATGCTGAAGTTTCTACTGTATTTAATAAAGTAGAATATTTTATTTACTTTTAAACCATCATTTCTATTTCAGACTCTATATCTTCTGGTGGCTTGAATTTATGATAACTCTGTGCACTTGATGAATTCAACATTTTGTAAGGGTAAACCCATGTTCTTAGAAGTGTCTTGTACCGTTCTTGTTTTAGGTGTCAGATGTTATATTAATATAAGCTAAACTTTTTTCCTTATCCTGAAATGGGTTAATGATTGGTAATAAGCATTGAACAGGGTTCTTTGTGATCAGCTCCAGTCAGGACTACAGCCTGCAGCAGGTCTTGCATCCTGATAGAGGGTAAGATATATGTCTTGCATAATAGCTGAATTTAGGTGCAAGCTCTGCACCTGGTTAGTGGTGTATAGCTAATATGGCTTAAGTGGGAGCTAAAAGTAAGCAAATGAATAGTATCTTCTTAGTGATATTTGGTTTAGTGTGGATGGAGGGAAGAATTTTTAAGCATCTTTTTTGCTTTCTATTTTTGTTGTTGTTGTTATATTCAGTTCTTTTGGGTGCATAAATGAGGCATGCACAAACTGTTTGAGCTTTGTATGGATGTCTTCTGGTTTAAGTCTTGGTTTTTGAGATACTGATCTTAGTCTCATTTAGGTTGGTAACGTAAGAAAAATATGACCAGCAGCTACCATTTGTATGCAAGGACACTGAACAAATAGGTGTTCAGGATCTACAGTGAGCATAGGCTTTGTGGTATAGAAGACGGATAACCACATACCTGTGTCTTAAAACTACTTTTTTTTAACTGGCTACAGTCATTTGGTAAACTGTGGCAAAGGGCTTGAACTTGCTGGATGCTATGCAGCATGTAAATCTTGATGAGTTCAGTGGGGGCTGAATCATAGGCTCGTGTGGTCCATCTTTATAGTCTACCTAGAAATCTAATTTGCAATAGGTGAAAAGCATCAGTTAAACTTTTGTCTCCCATTCACAGTTTAGAAACTTTCAGCCACGCTTGACAGGTAATCAAAGGCAAAATTTAGGGGTAAGCATTTAGTTTTGCCCTTACTGCTCCCTCTCATCTGCACACTAATTTGTGACTCAGTAATACAGGGCATGACTCCTGTTGATAAGGGGATAGAGCTTAGCAATGTTCCACATGAATAAGAAAAGAAAAAAAATCCAGCGCTTCCAACAATAAAACTTACGGCTTTATTCTCTTGGTGTTCAGTTCCAGTTTTGTTGTCCCTTCTCTTGGAACACCATATACTTGCCAACATCTGGATTTGCAAATAGTTGCAGATTGGATGGGTTTCCATTTGGTCTGGTATAACATTGTTTCCAAAGTCCCTTAAAAAACTTTCCCTATATAACAATTTTAAAGTGGATTTTATTGAATGTCTTCATAGGATCTGAGTTTAAAATAAAAAAAGTTATGTAATGTTGGGTTTGGAGGGTTTTAATTTGATACAGTATCATTACTGTATCAAATTAAGGAAAGATACTGGGCTTCCACTAGAAGCAATGTGGAGGTGTCTTATCCTTCTAGATTATTTTAAGGCCAAAGAGTCTATATGCTCGTCCACTACTTTCTTAATTGTAATGTTTAAATTCTTTGCTTAGGAATGTAGGCTTAAGAAATAGGGCCGTTTTCTGCATAGCTTCAAAAAAATTAGAATTTAACATCATCAGGTTCTTCTTTCTCATGTGAACTTATATTCAATTAATAAGGAAGGGATCGTGTACTTTGAAATATCAAAATAGTGAATGATCCTGTTTGCTTGCAATTCAGTGCTGTCCTGCTAGCATTTTTGATGTGGACTGATTCTTAAGGTTCTATATCTGTATGTACCCAACATTTAGGACTTGAGCTGTGTCAGACACTTGTGGAACTTGAAATTGTAGAAAATGTTTTGCAAAGATAAGTGCGTAATGTACACGTGCATCCAATTTTTCAAAATTTGCTTTTTTTTATTCTTCTTTAGGAGACTATCTTCACTTTGACGTGATGTGTGAAGCTTGTTAGTCAGCATTTTTTGTTTGCTTTTTTACAGTTATTGTGGAAGGTATGTATGAGAAAAGTAAACCTTGTTCTTTCTGTGTTTGTTTTTATCAAAGTGTATTGCTGTCAATGTACAGAAGCTAAATACAAAGAAATGTGTGGAATTCTATTTCATTACAAGTTCATGAATACTGGTACTTTGTCAATAAGTGGGATAATGTGTCTGTCTAAAACTTCTCAAAATAGTAATTCGTATCTGTCTTTGCATGTTTTGTGACATTTTACAGGTTTTAATTCTGTCTTAAAATTTGTATATAAGTTTCAATAGGGCTCTGTTTTTCTGCTGAACATTATAGGCATTTTAGTATTGCCACCGTGTAATTTTTTTAGTCAGCTATTAGCTTGACTGGGTACTGTGTTGCATGATGAAGACTTTGTAGTCACCCTTTCTTGTTAAGCTCTTTTCCTTGTTATGGAAGAGCTAAGCAAAGGCCTGTATTAGGCACACAGAAATGTTAAACAGACACCTTATAGTCAGATGAGAAACTAAGAGCTGCTATTGCTGTAACATGAAAACCTTTGACTTCAAGACATAAATATGGGCTCTTCAATTAGAATTTTGAAATCTACTTACCATAGATAGAAAAGAAATGGTATATTGTGTGCTTGTACTCTGAATAACTTCATATGTAACCTCATATCTAAGAAGTACTGGGTATTCTATTGTCCTTCCCTCCTTCTGAGGTAACTTAAAGCAAGGGATTTGTACAAGCCTAATGTAGACAAGTTGAGTACAGTATTAAGCAACTACAGGATGTGCACGATATCTTGTGCATAATCTCTGTGCACAGTGTATACGTCCTACATGTTTTGAAGCAGTTTGTGGTGAGAACAGAAGAGCTAGGGATGCAAGCATCTGATGTAGAGATGTCGGACTGATCGGGCTACTGCGATTGCTTCCTGTCTCCAGCTGCCTCTCCCCTTCCTACCTGCAGCAGAATGAGATTTCTTCTTCTCGCTCCTTTGGAACTCTTTTATGCCCAGCTTCCATTTTTGCTGCATATTTCACAAACACATGAGCAATTTGTAGGCTATATATGATATTACTTAATATAATGGCTTTTAGGCTATTAGTAAAAATGAAGGCAAAGTTTGTATAATATGTAGCATATATTAGACAAATTCATAAAAACTGAAGAAACCCTTATAAGCTTTCAAGCATGAAAACCTTTCTATTAGCTTACTCAACTTTAAGATATCCCTATTTATTCTCTCTCTGAGAACAAATGTTTTCTCCTTTATTCTGTATCAAATAAAAACCGCAGTTCCTTGCTGAGTGTTTCATAACTTTGCCCCTCCCTACTTACAGACTTGAGCTTTCTTTTGTCAATCCCACCATTTTATCAGAAAGGCAGAATAATTATGCAGAACTGATGCCCACACATGGAATAGATCAGCATAGATGTAGCAGTATAATTATACTTCAGGAACTCTGCCTGTTGATTTTTCTTTAGAAAGAAGCCCTTTGAGAAATGGAGGAAAAAGTGTCAAGATTTGAACATGGCAGAGTCTGTATTGCAAAGGAGAGGCGTGAATCAAAGTCAGGAAACAGTGTAGTGATCTCAAATGCACTTGTGTGTATCTAGGCATTTAAATCATTAATCTGAGGAATAGGTTAGCCTGGAAAAAAGAAATGTAGCTTTCTCACTGAAGACCTTGTGGCACTGTCCCTTTCATAAATAATTTGTAAATAATGAAAAGACAGGAAGCGTTTGTATGTTGACATGTGTGGAAAAAACAGTGTAATTTAAATTCACTAAACTGTATTAGTAAAGCAGATGACTTCTATTTACTGGGAGGGTCAGGAGCTGCTCCACGAAGGTGAATTAGATTTCAGTTCCTTGAGGAGTTCTCTCAAAGATAGTGAGTGTTTGAGTTTATGATGATAAATAGCAAGGTACATTATGTAATCTGGAGCAAATTAACTCTTGATAAGTTAGTTCTTAAAAGATATACATAAATAAGTCAGCATTAATCATAGCAAGGTATGTATAAGGTAATTCTGAGGTTCATTAGAGAGTATGTAAAAGATTCTAGTACAAGTAGATGGATGAATGAGACATCCATCTCTGTCATTTGTATTTGAAGCTTTCTGATCATAAAATTGAAGGTTTTCCTAAATTTACATCTTCTAATGGGCAGTTGTGAAGCTGTATCACAAGTCTGAATCCCCTTGTAGTAGCATTAATGGATATAAGAATGCATGTAGGTCTGGTATGCTCATGATTGGCACTTGTTTGGAGTAGGGCCGATGGACCTTGTAAATTTATTTTTTTTTTTTTTTTTTTAGTTAAAACACAAGCAACGCTTCTAAAAGCTTGTTTGCCTTGCCTTTATTACTTTTTGGAAAGTATTTTAGTGATCTCTTAACATAACTTCAGTGTTTTCAGTAATGCTAATATTTTTAGTGCAAGCTGTGCAAAGTCAAGCCCTCTAAAGTCACAATCTACCACTTTTTTTGGCCAACCCAAACAATATAATTTTTGTTCTCGTGTTTACTCTGTGCATTGAATACAGCAGAGGTACTCTGCTTACTGAAGCAGAAGGAAAGAAGGTTGGTCATGATCCATTTACACACTGCTGTAGTGCTCATCTCCTGCATAAATTTTAATGTTTTAACTGCAAATAGTCGTCTTCCTAAGATGAATTTTTGCAGCTCAAGCCATATCTCCAGAATTTTCTGTTGAGTGGTATACTCTTACTCTTCCAGTATGTAAAAAGCAGTTGGCTATAAGCATTTAAACCCAGCTGTGCTTTTCTGGTGATTCACTAGAATTGCTTAAATTGGCACCTTTCTATTACTACCTTGAACAAAGGCTTCTAGGAGCTGTGAGGTGCGTATAGGAAAAGGAAAACAGGCTTGTGTGTGTCAAAATCTGAACTTGTTTATACTGGAATTTCTGGCAAGCCTGCTTGACTTTTGTACTAGATGACAAGTTAGTTTACTGCTGTAGTTTTGATTTCTCAGAATATGAAGTGTTCTTAATTGATTATTCCTATGTGTGACATACTGAAACACAGTCAAAATCATTATCAGTGTTTTGGTTTATTTTTAATAGGTAAAGCTTGCTGTTGCATATATTGTATGCTTACTCTTAGTTTGGTAGGTTTTCATTAGAATTGGTGCATGCATGTATTTCATAAATTACCAAATAGATACATAATTTTTTTGTGTTCAAGACCATGTGTAATCTAATTTTGTAAGTTTACAATTAAATATTCTTTGGGTTTTTTTTCTTGAATCACTTTAAGCTTTGAGGGATCATAATTTACCCAAATGTGGTGTTAAATCTTTTGAAATGTTTGTTGAATGCTTAAGTTTAAATATGTTTCTGATTACCTCTAGTAGAATTGTATTTGACACAACACATCAAACTAATTTCTACTGTCAGCTTAGAGTATCTGAATTTATTAAAATGTAGTGGTTTCAAACTTTGCAGAATTCGTAGCCTAGACGTTCCAAAAAGGCATTGTACGGTTTACCTACTTTTGCTTATTTCAGTGATAAACAGTTCATAAATTCTTGAAAAGTCGAGATTTACTTTGTAATTGCCCTTAATGTCTCTGAAAATCTCATGCCAGATCTGTTAAAGATCTGCTTTTTAACAAATATAAGCATGTGTTTCCTGCCATATCGGGTCCATTTCACATACATTAAACACTTGCCCCTACTGTTTCGGAGGGATTTTTGTTTTGTTTTGTGGGGGTTTTTTTGTCACTGTTTGTAATCTTCCATGTTTTATTCCTTTATCAATCTTGAATAGGTTACAAATGGTGTGGGTTTTTATCATGAATCGAATGAGCTCCCAGAGCAGTTCATCCACTCAGCGTAGGCGAATGGCTCTAGGAATCGTCATTCTTCTCCTCGTTGACGTGATATGGGTTGCCTCTTCAGAACTCACTTCTGTAAGTATTGCTCCATGCATCTTAAAAGGAAAATAAAAGCCTATTTCAGAGAAAGGTGAGCAGAAACATGGTCACTCAAACACTTAGTGAGTGTTGTAGTGTAATGTTTAACCATCTTTTCAGTATGGGGAAGATGATACTCTTGGATTAGTGACCTAACCTGTATTTACTAAAAGTTACAAACGAGACGAGCTCAAGTTGGTGACTGTTGCTTTCAAGACAGAAGGTGTTATTGATGACTTTAAAATTAAACAACATAAGCTCATTACTATGTACTGTAATTAGGGAGTTCGTTTTGTTGATTGCCATATTGATTAAAATAATACCCATATGTTTCCCGAGAAGTAGTAAATGAGCTGTAACATTGCAGGCTAGGTGGTATGGTAGATTATAGTTCAGAACATCTAGAGGTGTAGGACCAAAGGACTTGGGTCATGGACTTTAGCCCTATAATTGCAGACAAATTTGTCATAATCTAGTTCATATAGTCACCATCTTGAAACTGATCTGCTATTTACTTTATGTAAAGTTTTAGGACTTAAAACAGAGCTTTAGAAATTGAAATTGAGTTTTCAATAAATTCTTTTCAAATTCAGGTTTCTGAACTGTCATTAAGTTATGTTCTATATCAGTTTTGAAACTAAGCATATAAAAATGTGCTTAACATGCTATTGTACTAATTAAACATTTTTTTCAATGAGGTGGTGGAATAACTATTGATACTGAAATGTTACTTAATCAAAGTAATCTTCTCTAATTTGTGATTGCTATGCTATTGGTTATACAAGTGGTCTTCCATTTAGAAAATGTTTGTATGTAAATGTATTTTCAGTCCTATCTGAGTTCAGTGGCATATCAATATGTTGCTTGGTTAGATAGGAGTAGTAAGTGGCTTTTCTCTGGTGGCATTGTGTCTTACAAAATGGCTCAGTGCCCTCTTATTGGTATTTAAGATAGCTTCGGAGAGGGTACCCCCAGAAAAGGTAGGGCCACCTATGTCTTTGGCTCATATATGCCAGTACTCAGAGCACTATCATTTTGGGAACCAGACTGTTCTGGACTATATCCTTAAACCTGTTCATTCATTTTGTGAATTCTCACCTAATTGGTAATTTTGGATACTGCAATTATTTTCTTTCCACAGTATGTTTTTACAAAGTACAACAAACCTTTTTTCAGTACATTTGCAAAAACATCCATGTTTGTTCTATACCTCTTTGGATTTATTGTTTGGAAACCATGGAGGCAACAGTGTACTCGTGGGTTTCGTGGAAGGCATGCAGCTTTTGTAAGTATTTTAACTCCGTGTAAATGTTTTGATGTTTGTTGAAGTTTATACAGAAAAAAATTAAAATAGGGACTAGAGAAAAGCATTGTTTACATATTTGTGAAATAGTGCTCTCAGAAAAGCAATTATAAACTGCATCATGGCACAGAAAGACATGGCAATCATAATGGCAGTATTGTGAGAAGAAGAGACAGGAAAAAGCAATATGGAACGTGTCAGGAGTCATAAGAAGTGCTCTATTGGGCCCGACCACTGGCCCATCTAGCCTGGTATTTTATCTTGGACAGTTGCAGAGGATAATTTTATTTAAGAGCGTATGAGCCTCACAGCTCTTGGATGTTAGTTCCCTTTTACTTCCCCAGCATCTGTAACCATAGGAATCTGAACTTTGTAGTTGATCTTTATTACTGACTCTTAGAACTATGAACTGTTTGCTAAGAGGTTTTGAGGTTTTTAAAGTTATTTTTAGGAAAGGTGGTAGAACCATGGTTTTGTTGCTGTTTATGTTGTATTTTCATAGCCTTTATGCATGAATGACCTTCTGTTGCCCATTGTAGAACTAGACAGTGTGTGCTAGAGTCTAAAATTATTGTCATATTGCAGAAATACATACTTTTTTTCCGAGGAAATTAAGAGATATTGGGAAGAGCACTTGTTCTGTGCCAGTGTTTCAGAATGCTGAACAGCAGGACTCAGGAAGCAGTAAGGAATTTGGCCTGATATTAATGCATTAAAATAACAGAAAATGTGATCCAAGAACATGCTGTTAATCAACATGTCTTTATAGAAAATAGCTTGTATGAAAAGAACTGACTTCAGCTCTTCTGGATATATTTTACTTCACTGATAGTAACAGTTGTAGGTGTAACATACTTCAATTGAAGTGTTACATGACATTAAGCCAAATTATTTTTATTAAAAAAAAAGACCACCACCACAAAACAAAAAAAAAAAAACCAAACCCCAAACCCGAAACCTTTTGCTTTTTTAAAAAAAACCCTTGTATTAAATACATAGAACACTTAAAGTTGGATATCTTGAAAAATTTTTGCTATATCAGCCTTTAATACCAAGTGTAGTATGGCACGTGTCAGATTTGATGCTGTTCAGGATCTTAAGAAGATAGTTGGGAAATAAACAGAATTTACGTATTCTTTACTGGAAGTAATGACAACCAAGGACGGTGAAAACACTAAAGGACAATTAGTTACATAGAGCAATTGTACTGCTCAAATTTATTAATCTGAGCAGATGAGTAGAATAAGGGGCTATTGCCTAGTGTCAATCGCGGTGGTTATATTGACCAACTGAATCCCGTGCAGTGCTATGTCAAAGGAAGAGATGATACGAACTCATAGGAACTGGATAGCAATGAGTAAGAGTGCTCAATCTGTCATGTTTTATGTGTGGTACTCACATCACCACTACTGGAATCCTGCTATTTTTTGTTTCTAACCCTATAAAAAGTAATTTATTTGAATAATTTGTAGGAAATAGCCTTTACTTTTGATGTTAGCATCTTTTAAAAGAACAGTGCAGAGACAGGTCTGTAGTGTGCAGTTAGAAGTTTTTTTTTAATTTATTCCCCCCCCCCCCCATCTGCCCCTGGAGTTTAGTTAAATATTCAACTATATAATTATTACAAGTGCCTTTAAAATGTCTTGTGTTTACTAATCTGGAACAAAAATTATACATTTATAGATTTTTATTTCAATAATGATTGCTTAGGTAAACACTCATACCTTACTTTTAAGTCCTTTTCCACATTAAAGGCTTTGTTTAATTGATTTCTTGCCAGTGTGGTGGAACAGCAATCTGCAGGTCAGGGAACAGGGGTAGTAGTGCTTGTTAGGATGCAGAAAGGAAGAGGAAAAATGATACTTGACCTCATCCTAATTCAAGTCTTGTTAAAACTAAGGGCAGAGTTCCAAGTTTCTGTGCAAAGGACCTTTGCCTCGATAAAATGAAGAAACAAGAGGCTTGTTGTTAATACATGCATAATAATTTAGTGAAGCATGTCTCACTAAGACTGAACTTCACAAGTTTTGGCGTTCTTAAGAGCCTAATCCTGCATTGGTACCTGGGTAGTTGAATTCAATGGGGCTCTCAAGGAGGTGCAAGGAATTACTGGAATTATTTACTAAACTTGTAAGCCCTCTTGTTTATTGGGGAGGAGGGCTGGAGGGAGAGAGGGAATTGTGATAGAATGATGGAAAATGGCATTAAAAAACTTATTCTTGAAAAATTGCAGTTATTAATAACTCTGCCTTGATAGATTATTACATTCAAGGTTCTGTAATTAGTTTGCAGATGCTGAAGGTTATTTTGCTGCTTGTACAACAGATAACACTGTAAACAGTTCTCTGGTAAGTGCCTTAATTTGTGAAGGTCAATGCTTTACAATAACATGACACCATTATCCTGACTTACTGTTTTTAAAATATGGTGGTCTTAAATGTAGTGGGTTTTGGCAAAGAGGATTGGTAATTTTTATGTTACTAATAAGTGCTGCAAATAGTGACGTCGCTTATTACAAGAAATACAGGTTCTCAACTCAATAAAACACTTACTTGAGTGTTTCTGTAGTAGTTTGTGAAAGAAATATTTGTTTTACAAAGGAAACCTTTACATATTCAGCTCACTAGCTGCCAAAGCAGAATGTGGAGAGCTAGTGGTAAAGCCAAACAGTTTTCAAGACTAAAATCCACAACAGAATCATTTATGTTGTATACTGTGCTCCTGCATTGCATTTTGAAAGAGAAATGGACTGCCGCCTTCTTCCAGTGGATGGAGTGACTACTGTTCACTGAATCAAATGTCCGTACTGGTACTCTGCTGATAAGCTGCATTGCCGAATGGCATTTATGCGGTGATTTTCATAATCCATAAATGACACTTTGTTATGCCCCTGTTTATCACAGATTGCTGCTTAATCTGCATACCTAAACCACAGGCCACATGCAGAAATTAATTCAAAACACAGAACTTCTAAAGTTTGCACCATCCCTGTAATAGAGTAGGGGGAGGCAATTGAGTGTTGGCAAACTACTATATGGGTATTTTATAGGGAGTTGAAGAGAGATTTTTTCAGAAGTGTTCTTCATTTCATTCTTTGTTTTTTTCCAACTTTATTTAAGAATAGTATCTTCTTGGCCTGCTCATCTGCATCATCTGACTCCAGAAGCAGGATTCATTGTTAACATTGGATGATTTTGCACTAATTTAAACATCACAAAAATTCTGGTCCTAAACAAGCTTAATGAAAATGCAGCTACCAGATCTTTTTCATTACTTCCATCTTACAGTTTATTAATTTAATTTAAACAAGCAGCTTAAAACTAGTCTGTTTAGAAGTATTTTAAGCAATTAAAACCTCTGTTAAGGGCCTAATGTACTGGAGTTCCTTTCCCAAACTTTTTTGACTTTTGAATTCATGAACTTTTAGGGTCAAGGGAGGAAAATGAATATGTGTTCATTTTGGTATACATATTCTGTATTTTATGTTTCTAGTTCATCATTTGCACAGAAGCTATAGGTCTAATGAAATATCTGTGGTTTTGAGTTATTTTTTAATTCTAAATCAGTAGGTTTGAATTTTCTGCGGGTGAGTTTTGTGTTTGTGAGGATATACACAAAAGCACACAGTTATTTTTGAGTACTGCATTTTACCAATATGTTTAACATAAAATATAGATTATTTATGAACATTTTTATAAGCCTATCCACTGTGTGCAAAACCACTTTGTTAAATTTGATTCTCTTAATATTTGCCAAGCTTTTCTTTATTTAGTTTTCTAATTCACTAAATTAGTTTTATTGTTTATAACTTAAATATCCTGCTTAACTGTATTTTTACTTATACTGATTCATTTCAGAGTGAACCTTTATATGTTCCTGTAAAGTTTCATGATTTGCCAACTGAAAAAAATGGCAGTAATAATAGTGATGCAGAGAAAAGTGAGTAAAGACTTTCGGAATGCTGAAACACTAGCCTTTTGGTGAAGGAATTGTTTTCTTCTATGTTGGTATAATTGCTGTCATGTTACAGGACTTGCCTTTTTTTTTTTTTCCCTCTTTCCCCCTTTTTTTTTTTCTTTTTTCTTCTCTTTTCTTTTTTTCTTAAATCTCCTATTGCATGACTTGCAGTCTCATATATTTACTTTCGGGTAGAGAAAACATAGGCCTATCGTTCAGTTTACCTTTCTTGGTCACTACAGATCCAGCCTATGTTTATCTCAAGGGACCAACTGGGTTCAGTACTTGTGATTCTTTCCTTCTGGGCTTGTATGACCAGCAGCAGTGAGTCAGCCTCTGGAAAAACAAGCTATTGTCCTTTTTAGAGCAGGAGCAAAGCAGTCAAAGTAAGAATTTTAACAGTCTATGTGCATTCTGATTTTATTTAAGCCTCACTATCTTGTGATAGTAGCTGAAACAGGCCTAACTGTCCTAGACAGTTATAGAAGAGTTGGCTGTCAAGGAATTCAGTTATCTGGTCCTCAGCAAAAGAGTCCCTGTTTATAAAAGGGGAAGTCTCTTTGTTAATTTCTAGATGACACATGTTAAGAACCACTTTGGTAGGCTCTGTTGTCCTGTGATAACATGCACCAATCATTTCAGGATTGTTTGAGCTGTAGCTTTTCCCTTCTTTTAGGAAATTAGGTATGTTTTGTATTGAATTAGGCCAATATTTATATCTTGCATGTAATGTTTTCTTTACACAGGAAACTAATGATACTTAAAATAAGCTTATAAATAAAATCTGATCCTGGTTTGCAAGATTAGTTAGAGCGTGGATTTCAAATGAGCAAGGGACCTTATGATCTCTGCTAAGCTTTGAGGTCTGTTGGGTACTCTCATCCTCTGAATGTAATGCTGTCCTTGCAGTTACGTATAGTTGTGTGCAGTTTTTGGCTGTTTGACTATTAAACAATTAAAGAAAATATTATATGTAATATTGGTCAATATAGAATAATTCCTACCTAAAAAATTGTTGTTACCGTGTGTGGATTTTTCTGACAGGGAGGAGGGATGATGCTTTTCAGGGAGGGGGTGGACAACTGTACTGATTGAAAACAGTCATTGTGCTTTGTCTTATTAGTAGTCTATCAAATGGCAAAGCACTAGTTTAATAAAAAAAAGGTGACGTCTCCTATTTCGATAAAAAGCTGTTATTTTGTGAAGTGTTGCTATCAATGCTGTATTAGAATGTCATAGTTGTATTTGCATGTTGTGTTAGCTTGAAAAGTTTAATGATAATATGCAGTTTTTCTTTTTTCTATTTTTTTTTTCTTCTCTTTTCTTAAGCTCCCAAAAAGCCTCGTGTAAGGTTCAGTAATATTATGGAGATTCGACAGCTCCCATCAAGCCATGCATTGGAAGCAAAGTTGTCTCGCATGTCATATCCAACAGTTAAGGAGCAGGAATCAATATTAAAAACTGTAGGAAAACTCACTGCAACTCAAGTAGCAAAAATTAGCTTTTTCTTTTGCTTTGTGGTATGTGCTCCATTCTTTCAGAAAACTTAAGTATAGATGCAACTAAAACTTGTATAATAATGTGAAACAGTATTGAGGTGACTTGTATTCTTTATGCCTCATTTTATAAATATACTATAAGAAGTAAAAATTTCCTTATGCTCGACATGAAAGTTCAACTTCTTAAAGGGAGGGTAATAAAAAGAGATCCTGGCTGTGTAGTTAACTAACTGTAAGGTCAGTTATAAGATATGCCATGCTTTTCTGCCATGCTGTACGGTGTTGGGTATGTTTGGTACAGCAAAATCTGGGATTAGACGTGTACAGGCTGCATGACTTCTTTCTGGGCCATCATAGAAAGAGTACTAGCCTATGTCTCACTGTGGCATTGTGCCCTCCAGTAGTATGAGGAGAAGATAGTTAACTTCATCCTTCAGCTCCATTTAGGGCTGCAAGATTTACGTAGGAATCTGTTGGTTGCTGGTGTTTCTGCATCTTGCCTTAGTTCTAGGGGGAGAGAGAGAGAACGGTGGAATGATTTTTGAGAGACAATAAAAACGTAGAGAGCAGATTAGCGATAGCTTTTCCAGAAGTAGCTTCACTGATACTGCCAGATAGGATATATGTAATGTGGACCTGCCACAGCTTTTCCTCAGCAAGTAGTGCTCTTGGTGATGTAACTTTCTGTACGTATACATAAAGAACACGCACACTGCAGCAGGAGAATAATAGGCCACTCATTAGTGGGTTTGGAGGGATAAAATAGCTTTTTTAAAAAATTACTTAAAAATCTGTGTGTCTGAATATATTTCTATATTATATATATGTGCAGATTTTCTAGAGTAGAGCCCTCATGTTCAAAACAAGTCGTGTTTATGGTATTCATGGATGCTGCTACTACTGGCACATAGTTCTCTTGGATTGTATAAGTATTTCCACTTAAGACTTCAGAGAGTGGTAACTTCCCTGAGGATATATCAGAGATCTCATTAATGAGATCTCAATCAAGAAGTGATAAAACTCTTGACATTTAATTCCTTTATGGAGGAATTAACGGACATGAATCCTTCCAAAATATTGAGGTATTGAATGTAAGTGGTGCTTATTTTTTAGGGTGGAGATGTGTGCCAGTTTTAAGTACTCTTAAAAAAAGAAGCAAAGCAAAACCAACCAAACAAAAAACCCCCCAAAACAAAAACCCAAACCCTCATTAGGCTGACTAATGTCCCATGTATCTCTGACATTTCTTTCCAGCCCTTGTGCATCTTGAAGCACTTGCAAAACAAGTTAGAAATACCTCTAGTTACTATAGAATAGCTATTATAATGTCATCTAAATTATTTAATAATGAAATAACATAGTTCAGAATGAAAAATAATTAAACACATAGATGAATGTGGTTGGTTTGAGCCAGTTCTAATTTTGCTTCTGTCTTTTAATGTATCTGTCACTTTAATAGAAGTTAGAAATCTATTTGAGGTAAAAGTCTTGTTCTGATTTTATTTTCAGACAAATAGTTGAGTTTTTTCCCTTTAAGTAGGATTTTATTGCACTGAGAAACTTAAACTCTGTTGTTGCTATCCTTAAAATCACTTTTCTTTTTCCCCAGTGGTTCTTGGCAAATTTCTCTTACCAAGAAGCTCTGTCAGATACCCAAGTTGCCATAGTTAATATTTTGTCTTCAACCTCTGGTAAGTTTTATTTACACCAACAGATGTACATTATAAGGCTGTCTATAACAAAAATCTTTTTGGTTACAAGGACTTGCATAATGATTTACCTGTGGGTTTGGGGGAATTGTAATGCCTTTGAATATGTGCATTTAAAAATTTCATTATGTAATTGCAGGGGTTTAAGCTGTCTTCATGATTCCCCTGTTTTTTACTTTGCAAGTTTGTGTGTATGTACTTCTGTGGTTGTGTCTGTGTATTAGAGATATATTGGGAGTGTAACAGGTTTGAAGGAAAGGTGGTGTAACTTTTTATTAAAATAGATACAAATCAGAGTAAAGTCATCTTGCTAATTCTTGGTTTTTAAAAAATGGCTTTGGGGTGAAGAACTTAAACCACCTAAATATTGTGCGTATTGCCTGCTTTGCAGGTTTTATACAAGGCTCCAATATGAGCTTTAAAGTATTCAAATTATGTGACAGTTTGTCTTTTGAGGAGTAGCTTTTATTACTTTATAAAACCAGTTTTAAAAGCACAATTATGTGATTCCCCCCTTAACTTTTCAGTCTTATTACAGTTTATTTTGTTAGCATGGCTAGCCTTTCTCCAAGTCAAGCATGTATTTGCTCATCTGAGGATTCATTCACAAGGTATTAGTTTCGTAACAGTTCTTACTAAAATCAGGGATGCTAAGATCAAGTAGTTAAAACAACTATATGAAATATAAAGAAGAAAATGTATGTGCAAGTTTTCTGAACAAACTAGTAGCACAACTTGATTGTATAAACTTCTTAATTTCTCTTGCAGGGCTTTTTACTTTAATCTTAGCTGCAGTCTTTCCCAGTAACAGCGGAGATAGGTTTACCCTGTCCAAATTATTAGCTGTTATTTTAAGGTAAGATAATGGGATGGAACATTTGGTCAAAAACTCCCTGATGGAGTGAGAGGACAGCTATACCTACTATACCTATGGTGTCTGTTACTATATATGGATGTGCTTCACTCTTTTAAAATCCTTGTTTCACAGATAAGTCGAGCAAGTGAATTGTCTTTTTAAATACTTCATATTATGAACAATTACTGAGTCTCATGCTCCTGTAGGAAATTAGATTAATCAGATGTCATTGGAAATATGTGTACTTATTTTCTTGTTGCTTAATTATGATTTCTTTGTTGTGTAGATGGGGGGGGAGAAAAGGAAGAGGCTTGACATTCAGAGTTGTCAGCATGTTTCATTAAATGCCTGGTGCATTGTTCAGGGAAGCTAAGTGGGGGGGTTTTGTTTGTTTCGTTTTAGCTTAGGATCAGGCCTTAGCAATAGAGAACTCCTCTTGGCTTTTCAAAAGTGGGTTTTGATTAACTAAAAATACATAAGGATAGAACTGTATTTTTATATTTTTTCTCTACCTTCTTTTCTGTCTTTGCAAAAAAAAAAATTCTTGGGTTTAAGTAGCATTTTGCATTTCTTCTTCTTTGCTAGCATTGGTGGTGTGGTACTTGTTAACCTTTCTGGATCCAAGAAATCTGCTGGAAAAGACACAATAGGTATTTACTTATTTTTTTAATCTTAGAATATGCAGTGATGAGTACTATCTTTTGACAATACTCAGTAGGTTGTATAGCAAGCTATATGTTTCTTACTCATGTAACATTTCACAGTCTGGCTTTTTAGTTTCAACTTCTGAAACTGGACATTTATGGTGGTTCCCCTCCTTCCCCCCCCCTAAACTATGTATATAGCTTAATTAGGAAAGTATTTACATTTTCAAACTTTCTGCCTTTTTCTATGCTTTTCATATAGTAATGGATTCGGTAACAAACAGTTTATCTCTGACAGTTTTACAATAGCTGTATGTTTAGGACAGTTAATCCTAGTGTGCATAGCATGTTTAGCATGTCTTGAGTGTTTTTTTTTTTATCTTTACAGGTTCCCTTTGGTCTCTTGTGGGAGCGATGCTGTATGCTGTGTACATAGTAATGATAAAAAGGAAAGTAGATAGAGAAGATAAACTTGACATACCAATGTTCTTTGGTAAGACTAAAAATGACTATTGGAAGTTTTAATTCGGTGTGGGATTAAATTGTTTACTTTCAGGCACTGAACTGTGTACTAGTGGTAAAGGGGCTCAGAAAAGCCAGGAAAGTAGAGAAAGCCTATTGTTCCTGTGGTTATGGGTACTTTAGAGACTGGTGGTGTGAATTGTTTCTTGTTTACAGTCCTAACAATGAAAGATAACACTACCTGTAGGAATGCAGACAGACCATTAGAATCAGTTGGAAACTTTTTTTTTCAATTTCAAACCTGTAAATATCCAACGTATTTGTTGTTTGTGAATTTCAGGTAAAGTCTCTTGTATTCCTTTCCTTTGAAAGATTTAAAGTACTGCTTTGTTGGTGCTTTTATGTATGCATGTTGTCAAAATAACGGAGTTTGGCTGAGATTTTAGGTATGTTGAAGGATATTTATTGCAATTTACTTAATACTGTTTTTATATTCAGGTTTTGTAGGGCTGTTTAATCTGTTGCTGCTGTGGCCAGGGTTTTTCCTGCTTCACTATACTGGATTTGAAGCATTTGAATTTCCCAGTAAACTGATATGGATGTGCATTGTCATTAATGGCCTTATTGGAACAGTTCTGTCAGAGTTCCTCTGGCTGTGGTACGTACTACATGCTTTGTATATATTTCATGTAAATTGTTTTACCTGTGTTCTCCAATGTTGAGACATCAAGTTGTCTAGGTAGGTTTTTTGCCCTTTCTTTGTTTTTTTTCCTGTCCATATATGTAGTTTGAGGAAGTCATTCATTATAGAATCTTCAAGATCCTCAAGTTCAACCATCAACCTAACACTCCCAACCCACCACTAAACCATGTCCCTAAGTACCTCATCTACCCTTCTTTTAAATACCTCCGGGATGGGGACTCAACCACTTCTCTGGGTAGCTCATTCCAATGCTTAACAACCCTTTTGGTGAAAAATTTTTTCTTGATGTCCAACCTAAACCTGCCCTGACACAACTTGAGGCCATTTCCCCTCATCCTATTGCCTGTTATCTGGGAGAACAGACCAACACCCACCTCACTACACCCTCCTTTCAGGCAATTGTAGAGGGCAATAAGGTCTCCCCTCAGCCTCCTTTTCTCTGGCCTAAACAACCCCAGTTCCCTCAGCCACTTCTCATCAGCCTTGTGCTCCAGAGCCCTCACCAGCTTCATTGCTCTCCTCTGAACATGTTCCAGCAATGCAACATCTTTCCTGTAGTGAGGGGCCCAAAACGGAACACAGTATTTGAGGTGGGACCTCACCAGTGCCAAGTACAGGGGCACCATCACTGCCCTACTTCAGCAGCTAAAAGCCCAGGTAAACAGCAATTGCGTGCTCCATGGCAGTGTATTCACGGTATTTTCATCCTGCCACATCCAAATATTAAAAAGAAGTCGTCCTGTTTAAGAGCAACAGCTAGCTTTACAAGATCACATCATATGCCTTTTAGTATTTATTAAGGTACTGTGTGCTTAGCTCATTCTAGAATTAGCAGTTTTGAGACTAAAAGAATTTGTGGTACAGAGTTGCAGTAGTAATAGGAGAGCATGAATTTCTGTTTTAGTGGTTCTTCAGTTTCCAAGGCCTTGTACATGTTGGATATACACGAGTCAGAATCCAGTGTTCTATAGTTGACACATTTGTTTAAATCTTCAAAGACTTAATGAGCTAAATCTCATCAGAATGTGTTAATCATGAAGACATGGCAATTCATAAATTAGCCTAGCTCTTGTTTAGTAATTTAATTATATGATAGTCTGGATTAGGTCGGCAACAGAGGATTGAACATGAGACTTGTAGATGAACAGCTCAAAAGCTGTAGCAGACTTAAACCTTTGTGTAGCTGTTAGGACAGTATTAATAGAGAATTGTTTGGTAAGTCAAGGTTCCCAGCTTGAGGGAATTCAGGGAGTCTTGAGCTTATTCTGGGCCAGCATTAGGTTAGAATAAGGGTGTAACAGAAAATTCTACAAGTTGAAAAGTCTTATTTTTTTCTGGAAACACTGAGGAAGAATTTCCAAAAAGACATGCTTCCAATGCCATACAGTTGCTCAGGGAAAGGTGTTGGTTTCAGCGCTACATTTTGAACAGGTGTGGCAGTTTGTGAGCTTCTGCCTGAGAACCCTTGGCCTTCAGCCTCTCAACTCTGGTAGAGAGACTGGAAAACCTGATGCAATAGCTACTCTGAAATGGAGATATCTTGCTGCACTCGACAACTACCTGAAAAGAGATTGTAGCAAGGTGAGGGTTGATTTCTTCTCACAAGTAAGAAACAATAGGATGAGAGGAAACGGCCTCAAGTTGTGCCAGGGGAGTTTAGATTGGATATTAAGAAAAATTTCTTGACCAAAAGGGTTGTCAAGCATTGGAACAGGCTGGCCAGGGGAGAGGTGGAGTCCCCATCCCTGGAGGTATTTAAAAGCTGGGCAGACGAGGTGCTTAGGGACATGGTTTAGTCGTGGACTTGGCAGTGCTAGGTTAATGATTGGACTCAATGATCTTAAAGGTCTTTTCCAACCTAAATGATGCTGTGATTCTATCAGTACCACAAAAGATCTAGGTGGAGTTCAATGAAAACATTTTTTTTTTTTTTGGGGGGGGTGGTGGGTGGTGAGGGGTGTTTGTTGTTTTTTTTTGTTTTGTTTTCAGATCAAGTTTAAACAAAAAATGACATGATTAGATTTCCTTAAATAACTTTATTGGCAAACTCCTACACCATTCCTAGTTATAAATGCATTGCAGCATATGTTCCTTTGTAATTTAATTTGTTTATTGATAGAATATTTTTGTGATGTTAATGCCATCCTGTAAGATTAGACTACAGTTCAGTATCAGCTGGTAAGAAGGTTATGGGCAATTTCAACATAGGCAAAATAACAAACAAAACCCAAGCTGCGCCCCCCCCCCCCCAACTTAGCTCTCATCCCAAAATCAAGTACTAGCATAGGGTTAAGTACATGGGTGTGTACAGCCTTTTTTATACACGTGCTATTTGTGTAATTACTCAGAATGATAATCCAGTCAATTAAAGAGCTATTTTTATTTCTGGTTCCTCTCATCTAGAATTTTGGGCTAGGACTAATTTCAGAAATTGTGCTGACATCATCCTTTTACTTGTCCAATGTGCCACTAGTATGGTCCTCTGCTCTTTATCTGGAAGTAAATAATTTCATTCAACCTAGTTGTTTACTCCATCTATCCACGTATTGCCAATTAAATACTGTAGTGGTAGATGTGACTCTTAATTAATTATTTTTTGAACCTGCTGATAAGTTTTAATTGGATACCATACTGTTTATTCTAATTCATGGTGTTCTGGTGGACAAGTTGGTTCTAATTCAGAAGTAGGCAGTGCAGAGATACGGAAGTATTCTCTTATGGTATAGAAGGGGATTTAGAATATTGGTGAGGAAGCTTGCAAACATGCAGAGTATCTAAAATGCTTTATTTCCTTTCTATTCCTTCCTCACCTGTGTACATTTTTCTTTGTTTTAAAGAGACAGAACAATGCAAAGTGATTACAAATATCCAAACTGGTCATTTTTGCTTGGCTGAAAGTCGGTCTTATGGGAGGACCTAATGGCTTGGTTTGGGAATACTCTGCTAGCTTAATTAGAGAAATACACGCATGAAGTCATGTTCTAGAAAATGTTTGTTCAAATCTTTGTGTTTAAAAGGTGGTAACAAACTTCAGTGAGGTGAATTAAAATAGTATTTTCTTCAGTGAATCACATTTCATGAATATAGTTTCAATGATGCTGCATCTGTTTAATTTTTACAGTAGCCAGAATAAAGACTGAGTAGGTAAAAAGCAAATTGCAGAATTCTAACAAAAATTGCAACTACAAGTTTTTCCTTTGTTAAAATTAGTTGCATGCAGAACTGATTGCAGTTCCACAGAAAAAGCATACTGTTTTCGGTACTTGCCAAGGATGGGAAGATTTGCCTTTATCTTAATAAATAAATAAATTCTGGGTGCCTTTTGAAATAAGAAGCTGACTCAGTAGTGGGCATTACTGATTTGAAGTGGGTAGATACCCCCTTGTATTTATTTTGTTCATACGGTAAATAGGCTATTTCATAGAGGAGTTTTTGCTAACTAGTGTCGCTATCCTTGGTAACTTTTGACTTGGTCATAAAATGGGAATTGCAGTTTTTTATATTGGATGTTAATGTTCTCTGCTAGGTATCAAAATGGCTCAGACTAGTTATGTTTTATTTATAGAGCCTTAGGTTTATATCAAAATGCCAAAGATCTCAAGAGCTCATGTGTTCTGTTAGGTCTGTCCTACATATACTTTGAGGTTCTCTCTTTTTTTTTTTTTTTTTTTTTTTTTTTTTTTTTTTTGTAATTTAGTTCAGTGAATCAGTCGTTTGCAAGCTAAATATGACTTGCAAAGGAATTTGGGAATAAGGGCCCATTTTCTGTGGCTGTTAATGGGTACTGCTCTGACGTATGCATGTAGTTTTGTTGTTCTGTCACTTAAATATATTGCAATGGCTTTTTGTGACTCAGTGATTTAGAGAAGTTTAATGGCTTTGTTCCTGCTTAGGAAATATGATGAGACTACTCGTAGAATGCAGAGAAGTCTTACTGAGACTCTGAAGAATGATCTCAAGGGTGTACTTCAGAGTGAGATCTAAAAAGCACAGTCTGTTAATTTAGAAATATTTTTTTACAGATAGAAAAATTCTTATTTTTGAGTAGGGTTTCTAGACATCAGTAACCTTTTTTAATTAAACAGACGAGGGCAAAACAGATTCAATTGCTGTAAGCTGGTATTAAACTATTTCAAAATGCAAACAAAATGCAGATTTTTCTAGGTGAAGTCACTACATGTGAAGTAGTGAATATTCCATTGCCTCAGAAGGTTTGCATGGGAATTTTAAACCTTGCTCCAGAAGAAGTTGGTAATCTAGTTAAGAATTTTTTGCAATCTTACAGATTTATAATGGAGTGTGGGAATCTCAGTTTTTGATTACTAAAACAAACAGTGACTAACAGTTAAGCTTGATCAAATGTCTTCTGCAGTTTGATGTATTACTTTAGTTGTCTTTTGACTTTTAAATAAGACCTCTTCATTATTATTACTACCAATGATAATTATTGTTGTTTATTTTTCTAGGGGCTGCTTTCTTACCTCATCACTGATAGGCACACTTGCGCTAAGCCTTACAATACCTCTGTCCATAATAGCTGACATGTGCATGCAAAAGGTAATGTACTACTAAGTTTTGAGCATTATTAACATAATTTCTTTTAATTAAATGGCAGTGTTGTTTTTAACAATGTATAAAATGAACACTATTTTACTCTTGTAGCTTGTTAATAATTGTTGAACTGTGTTGTAATTAATACTCTCTTGATATTGACAGTTACAGTAATTTTGCACTTGCAAGCAGGCACTTGCATGCCTAAATATATTTGATTAAGTTGCAGCTTGTATGAAAAGTACCCAAACTCTTCAGCAATGCCTGGCCAAATGCTTTACTTTGAACAGGCACTTTTCAGAATAAAATAACTGCAAGTACAGCACACCTTAAATTAATACCTTTACAATTATAGAATTTTTATAGATTGCCTATCTTGAAAATTTAGAGACAAAACCAAAAATCTGCAGGTTTACCACAAAGGAATGTAGCAGCTACAAGGCTTGATTGCATATTATTAGCTTCAGGTGGATGTTAGTCTCCCATTTAACAGTTCTCCTTTAAGTTAGTCTAGTTTCACCAGTATTGAGGTAATAGCTGTGGAAAAACCCTGCATATAAAGAAAGAAAGAATTTGATGAGTTTAGAATAGAAACGATATGAAGTTAGTTTATATTACTCTTCAAGCTGTATAGATACTCTTCTTTTCATGCTGGTGGGGTAGAATTCTCAGTTCTAAATATTTAATTATGTATGAACTCCAACTCTACCTTTGAATATTTGAATTTAATATTTAATCAGCGGCAAGGAGTATAACATTCTTAATTTCATGTGAATAATTATTATTTAGCATATACTGCAAGCATGCAGCTACTGGTTTTGGGGTGTTTTTTGTTTCCTGAAGGCAGGATCACTTGTTTCTGCTCTTTATTTTGGATTTAAATAATCCTCACTGCTAAAATTTTAGTTTGAAATTTAATCTACCTTTTAACTCTTTGAAATAGCTTTCAACCTGACTTTTATAATGCATCTGTTGTTAAAGCAAACTTAATTTCTCTTACAGTGATAATGCCCTTCTTTTTTGGCAGGGCATCCCCACACAGTCCAGTAAAGTTATGCCTTTTAACACATCTCAGTGTAGACACAAGTGTATTTGTCACTTGCTAAAGTGTAAGCGTTTCCCATCAGATGCTTGTGTGTATTTCTTGTCTGCTTGGTGCTTTTGGCTTGTGGCTGCTGCTTGTATGTTTGAGGGTATGTAAACTCTTACCACCTTCTGATACTGAACTGTTCAGCATGAGGGCATTGGGGGCCAATAAGACTTATCTTTGACAACAAAGTAAATTTCCTACTATATCTTCTCTTGCTGTTGGAGGTAAATGCTTTGCCTCTTACTTTATTTAAAAAGGAATTGCTAGTATTAAAGCACAAATGAATGACCCTAATTAAAGGCAAACTCCTGTAGACTTTGTGGTTGCTTTGTGCAAGTATGTCTCTCATACAAACATCAAAATATCCTAAGCCAAACCCTGTGCTCACCAAAGTCTCATAAGCTTCCAACTTAAAGCTTTCCAGTTTGTGCTTCTGGCCAGCCTGGTCTTTACACTGCATTCCAGTTTTCTTAAAAGGAACCTACGTAAGAATGCCACTGGCATGGCTAATAATGTGCACGTTACTCTATGAATATATGCAGTCTTCATATGACTGTAAAATGTATGGTAATTATAGAATATATATAATTACTAATTTCTGGGTCTTTATTATTCTGTAACAATCTGACATAAATATGAATCTTAAGAAATTACAATGAAATTTTTAACAACTATATAAATACTCTATTTGGTAAATTATGTGTTTATGAATTTCTTCCAGAAATTCATAAAGGATAACATAAGGCTCTAACAACTGCAGTTTATTAGCTTTTTGAGAGTGAACATCAGTGCAGGGTATCAAAACTGTACCTTTTTTTCTCCAAAGTCTTCAACTTCAGAAATTTTCTCCGCAAGGGGGAGCTGTGCTCATGGGTCATTGCTCCGTTAGCCTTAAAGGCATTCCAGAGACAAGTTCGTGTTCTTGCACCCTTGATTTCTCTAACCTGCTATAATTTTAAGTTTTAAACAGTCTCAGATGATCACTTGCAAGAGTAGTAGTAGTAGATAGATACATGTAGTAGTATAGATACAGGTAGAATTTAGTTTAAATTGGGCAAATAATGTACCCTGCCTTTTTTAAATGAAAAAGAAAATTATTGTAAATTTCCAGTGGTCAAGTCTTTCTATGGGCATTGATTGTTACCGTTCAGTGATAGTGCATTCATGGTGAATAAACAGGTGCATGAATCTTTCAGGTGAGATCTCATATTAAAAATTTTTTGAAGTGTCTAGGGGACTTCCTCATTGGTACCAGTCAGACAGCTAAAACCTAACAATGAGACTATTTGGAAATGGCAGTCTTTATCCACAACACAGCACAAACAGGGTGTTCCATTGCAAATCATTGCAGAAAGGCTGTTCATTTCTTAGAAGTAGCAGTGGCTATGGAAATTGTACCAAATAACTTACAAAAATATTTGTAATATTTCACCCAATTTAAAAGAACTGAAACTTCATCTCAAATTTACAATAATAATTATTTCAAATAGACAGTATGCCAAGATGGGGTTTTTTGTTTGTTTTTTATTCTTGAATGAATGACGTTTTGTTTTAATTCCAGGTGCAGTTTTCCTGGTTATTTTTTGCAGGGGCAGTCCCTGTATTTTTTTCTTTTTTCATTGCAACTCTCTTATGTCACTATAACAACTGGGATCCAGTGATGGTGGGAATCAGAAGAATTTTTGCCTTTATTTGTAGAAAACATCGAATTCAGAGGTAAGGCAGTCACAAAGTATAATCCTATCTCTTCTTTACCTTTTCCAGTATCCTATACTCTAAGCCACAGTACTCATACTGTATATATTTTCATCAAATTTTGTATTCAGGTGTACTAATTTCTTAATAATAGTAGTTGCCAGTCCATTTATTAATCCATGTAATGCTCAGAAAATGGAAAGATGTGAAGTCTGTTTACCTTTTAAAAGAAGCTTCTTAATAGCTGTCGCAGTTTTTGTGGTTTGTTTTTAGTTTTTCCCTTTAATGCCACTATGATAGTTGCTGTACCGAAGACATGCAGTGAAAATTGTGCAAACTTGAGTATACTTTATGAAGTTAAGGGGTCTTTGTGTGATTTTAATGGCTGCAGTTCAAACCACTAGCGTACTCAGTACTTATGTTGGATTCATAACAACCAATTTAATATTACTGCCTAACTTTAAATAAATGTGTTTCTTTTAAGAATGCCGGAAGAAAGTGAGCAGTGTGAAAGTCTCATTCCTATGCATAATGTTTCACAAGATGGAGACAGTTGCTGTTCATAGACAAAAGGTATGCTTAATAAACTTCAAACGATACAGAGAAAGGTGAGGATTGGTTTTCATGATGGCATTTGCGTTATATAAGCACACATGTTTACAGAGTGTACAATTAATCTTGTTCTGTATTGATGGATAGAGTTTTGAAAGGTATCTTCAAAATTATTATTTGTTACCAAGCATTATTCTCACCTTGATACAGTTCTTGGTCAATGGTTTTGAAATGTAAAATACTTTTTTACTTAAGAGTATTAGAACATTCATCAAAAATTGGACATGAGTCAATAAGCAAGAAGAGGCATACAACTTGTGTGGATGATGAGTGTAGAATAGATCTGAAATAATTATTTCCCTCTGTTTAATGCTGTTGAGGTCTCAGTTTGGGCTGCTGTGGTTCATGAAAAACACTGATTGTTTAAGGAAGTTTAGGGAACATGACCAGATGTTTTTATGGGTCTAGAAAATGGAAGGAGTCTTTGTGGTTGACAAGAATTAAGTTGGTAATTTGCATTAAATATTAGGGGAAATATTACTCATAATAAGGATAGGGGAAGTAGAGTAGTATAGCTAGGGAGTTTTCAAAATATCCCTCTCTGAGAGGAGGTTATGTAAACCTCTAACATGAACATTACTGTCTTTGAGCATAAAGATAGACATAGTTTAGGACTGTCTTAACCCTATGCTTCAGGGCTTTAGTTTTCAAATAACATATGCAGAATTACATGGTGAGAAGTGTAATTTTTTATTTCCAATGCTGCTTAAATCTTACAATGAAATTAAAAGTATTCTAACCGAAACAGTAATTGTGGTGTCTTAAACTTGGACCACATAACTTACTTTGTTTATTAATAAATTGGAAACAAATACATATGGTGATTCCTTTTTTTGTAATCTTTAATTATGTAGCCCTGATAATTCTTTTTTTTTTTTCTTTCTCCTCTTAGTTTAAAAATGGAGTGATGCCCAGCGAAGAGACAATCTTCTGGAAAAGTCCCTAAGGAATCATGTTTCAGTGCCTATTCTGAATTTGTAGTAGAAATAAGAAGTTTCAGTTCTTTTGAAACTGTAAACTTTTCATCTTTCTTGCTTTCATCTGGTTTTATAAATGAACAAATTTACTACATGCCTATCACTGTAGGGAGTCAGTCCATCTGAGCAACCAGCCTGCCTTATAACACTAAGCTGGTGAAGTTACTTGACAAAATGGAGAAAACAAATGCTGTTAAGTGGTTTCTTTTTTCTTAACTCACAATTTTGTTAAATGCTGGACAATATTATTTTTAAAAAATACTTTCAAATGAGTTCTGTAAATAACTTTGCAGGCCATCAAGTCTTACAGGCTTTCAGATGAAAAGCTAAATGGATATGTTACCTGTAGTAGGTACAAATTAACTTTTTTTTATGTTGTATAAACTATTTGCATATTAATAGAAGAAAATAGAAAAATAATTTATTAAGTGCATTCTTGCAATTATTGAGGCGGGATCTTTGTACGGTCCTGGAACACTACATATATATTGTCTTACGCCATTTTGAGAAGCCTTGTAATGGCAATGGGTGCCAATGTTTAAAAATCTTTCGTTACCTAAGAGTCTGGAATATTTAAAATTTTAGTGAATGGTAAAATACTTATAATTACAATACACCTGGGTGTACATTCTCAAGATCAATATTTGTTTTAAACAGACTGATTCTGTAATCCATTCTCATTCCCAGATACCTCACATGGAAAACTAAATTTGAAAATTTTCACACATGTAGTTGCCAACTTACAAAAGAGATCAAATTAATTGTGAAGGTTTTCAGTCTTTGGGTTGGCACTACAGTAATCTGCTAAACAATCTGAAAGATAAAGGTGTTTGCATTGATTTTTTTTCAGCTGCATTAATAAATTTATTCTAAAATTTATCATTTTCCTTATAACCCCTATCTTCCTTCCACTGTGCTTCTGTCCTATTTGATTCTGAAAAGTTATGAATAATTTTATTCAGGAATATTTGAAATTAGTCAGTGCCATTTTCCAACTTCTGGCCTATAAGACACTTTAATATAAAGTTAGTTTTGGCTTTTGATGGATTTTATTTTTTTTATAGTGAATGTAGGATGGATTTTTGGCCAGCAGTATTCTCTTCCACATAACAAGATTATTAATAATAGAGTACTTCTACTATCATTCCACACAAGTATAGAAGGATGACATAACACAAATGCCTTTTCATGTTTTGACACTTAGTGATGATCCTTCCAAAAGAAATTTTGATGGTTTGGTGATACAACTACTGGACAAGAGGGAGTGCAGGAAAGGAACATGCTTAGTTGTATGTTTAGCTGCTGGCTAATCAATTCTTCTAGAATTTAATATAAAAATCTGTAAGTAGGGAAGGAAAAAAAATCAAAACAAACCAAAAAAAACCAAACAAACAAACCAGGAACCTGGGGGCTATTTCTTTCCAATTTTTAATATTGGCTTACATTACAAGTTTCAGTGATCTGAGGCATTTCTTTAAGATGAGACAGTAAGTCCTCCTTTGCATGCCTGAAATAAGAATTAAAAAAAACCAAACAGCAAAACTACAAACCCAAAACAAACAAAAAAGTTTATTAAATTCATGTAGACACTCTGAGAAACTTCACATTTCAATTCCCAAACCCCACAGGTGGAGGGGTTGAAAATGCAATATGTAGAACTGATTTTACATTTAACTTTGGTAGAATTTTCAGGGATTTCTTTGTAAGTGGAGTTTCCTTAGGGGTTTTTTTTAAGGATTTTTTTTTTCCTTCTTCTAAATTATGACAAATTAGAGGATGTTATCTTCAACTTTTTTTCAAGAAATAAGGCCTACTGGCAATAAAAACCTAATGTCTGTTTTCAATTAATGATATGTTTCAATGACTTCATACCGAATACATAATACCAGGCATAAACTACAAATTTGACTTGGGACTTGTGGCATCAGCAAACTAAGCCTGGGAAAACAGAGTTTGCTTTTGGGCAATTACAGTATTTTTTTGCAAAATACTCATAATACTGTATTTTTTAATTGGCCATACTGATAGAATTGGAGCTGTAATGTATAACGGGCAATTGCTTTTCACATTTGTCCTTAGGTTCATGGCTTAAAGATCACTGTAGTCTCCCATGTATGTGACTTTTATTGGCTTGTATTCATTAGTTTGAGAGGTTAAGAAAATACATACTAGGAGAATATTCTTCTGTCTCTAACTCCAGGAATGTTAAGAATGTCTTTGCTCAGTAACCTCGAAGTTAGGGCCTTCCCACTATTTTTGTTTTTAACAAAAATATGTTAATGTTTTTTTTTTTTTTTTAAGATACTAAGTATTTTAATCTTGTGGCACTAGACAGCTTGAGCATTTTTTTTGCATTAAATTACAGTTCTTTAAAGAATAAGAAACAAAGCAAACTGTCCTTCCTGAAAGGATTTTTAAACAGTGGTGCCCCTGTAGTTACAAGAAATGTGTTACAGTTTTAATTACGGAAGCTATGACATGTAACATTGTTCCTGCATTTAATAGAATGTGATGAGGGTTTTTCTATAAAATCTTGTGATTTTTAGTACAATAATATTTTATAAATATAATGTCTAATTTGAAATGTAAATTGCGTAGCTCTCTAATGGGTGCTTGGTAAATGCACAAGAGATTTAGCTTTGATTCTCAGGTACCTCTGATGTAATGGAGACATGCTGGGTTTTTCTTCCTCATGACACAACTGGAATGTGAAGGAGCTCTCATAAATGCTTTATCCTCTGTGTGCTAGCATAAATTGTCGTTGCTCCTTACTGTTTCAATTTGGGAATGTCTTTATTCTGATTTATTTCTTGTAGGAAGCACGCACACTTTAAAAAAATGAATTTTTATCTCAAGCATTTCTTTGAATGTCATTAGATGCTTAAGGAACAGTGATTTCCCATACCTACAAAATGGAAAATGAATACTACGTGTGTTGCTCTGTTAAACAGTTGAACTAATTCCTGTAATCCTGTGAGACAACCGACAATTTCTTCTGTGTGTAATCTGAGATTTTGGAGCTGTTTGTTTTTTCTGTATGGGGGAAATTACGATAACTCGCTAAATGCCATGTAGCATGCCTTCACTTTTAGGGTTTTGGTGAGTCTTGCATAGTTGGGTGTACTGCACTCCAGAACAAGGGGAAAAAAGGATTTCAGTTTTTCTGGCTATTTTCTGGTAGGTTTCAGTCATGCTGAAAACATGTTCGCTACGAGGGACTGCTGCAGATGTAATACTAATTCAGCAAAGGACTGAAATACATGCAACATCAGTACTCAACAATTGCTTAGCAGGTATGCGGCACATGAATGCCAGTGAAGGCACTGAGGGCCTGATGTTTCTGTTGCCCAGTGTGCACTGGATCTTGCTTGTTGGCTTTTGCCTGTGGAAATCCAATCCATATAGCGGTGTGGGAGCTGTAGTATGTGACTGATTTGGCTTGTCATGGAGTTGGGCTAGAGTGGACTGCACACCGAAACTCAGAAGCAGGGAGGTAAGGCATGGCCTGGTTATCTCACTGTGGTGTTGCAAATGCTGAAGTATTTTGAGGAAATACAGTGTTAAGCAGTGGTATTCTTTGACTGACAAACCATGGTGCTGCATGTGATACTTGACCCAGTATGCTGGTGTATGCATTGTATACCTCCTTGGAATGTACTAGCAAAAATAGGAAAGCCTGCAAATTACTTTTCTTCGTGTGTGCTGTTGTAATTGTCACTCTCTTTCACAATCCCAATTGTGCCCAGGTACTGCTATTCACAACTATGATTGCTTTAAAATAGGTGGTAAAATGGTTTCTTTGTAATTCTTGGTTCCATCTCTGTGTTGAATGTTATCGTTCCTCTTCCCTGCTAAAAGATCCTCCTATGTTATGGAAATTAAGTTACTGAGCTAAACTAAGCTAATGGAGGAGGGGGAAAACCAGTTACATTTCAGGCATAGGGTGAGTTTATTTTCAAATTTCATATGAAAATAGGCCTCAGTAAGGTAGAGTGCTTGTATGTTTGTAAATGAAGTTAAGTGACATACTCAAAAAATCAAGAAATAGAAACTAATGTTAATATCACAATGTTGACTTCCATGGTTAACTGCAGGATGGTACTTTTAATCAGCTTTCTTTATTTGGGATACGTTTTGAGTTAGTTACCATTTCTGTTAATGACTGTCATATGTAGTGTCTGCAATTTAATAGTTATAACTGCAGTAGCATTTAAGTGTTGGTTCATAAACAGTTGTTATGCATGATTTTTTTTTTCTATCTAATCCAGGATTGCATTAATATGCTGTATTTTGTTTTACATGGTTATTGCGTGGCATGATTTCTCAGGGAAATAGGGATGATACCATGTGTTGTGAGAGCTGATAAGTAATTCCTGCTTTTAAAATTGTTACAAACCTTTTCAGGTTTCACTCAAACATTTCACATCAGGTAACTTTCATGTCAAACTTCCTTAGGCCTATCGGGTAAATCATGATGAGGCATTTAAAAGTGTCAATAAAATACACTCTGCCCAACACTTCATTACTTTTTGGACAAACATCCATTCTAAGCTGATGCTGCAATTTGTGTGTGGTTTTCTACTTTATTGTACTATGCGCCATATAAATTAATAGTTACGCTGCTGATTTTGAAGCTGCGCTTATGACAGTGATGTTAACTTCCAGGGTTAGGCAACGCTGTAGTAATACATAATCTATTTCTGGGTTAAAATAGCAGTATAAATCTTCAAACATAAATATATTCATTTATATCATTAAATTTTTACAAAGTCTGTTCCCTTGGGGGATTTTTGTTTGTTTTTCCAGAAAGGTTACTTTGGCTAGACTGGGATTTGATCCAAAGCCCACCAGAGTCATAGACAGCATTAATAAGGTAAAACCTTACTGAAAAACCCTGCAGTCAGGTTGACCTTTATGCCTTTGCAGTATTTCTGTCTACAGCCTACATTTGGAGTGGTTTGCTTTAAGATTTCAGTAATATAAATTTGAGGGAATTTAGTGCTGGTAAAAATGCTAAACTGTAACTGGTCACAAAACACATTTCCCTATAGCCAGCATGCAGCTTAATTACTTAATACAAATTTGTCTTGCTACAATACTTTTCTTTAAAATCAGCAATATAAGAAATGTTAACCACTTCACTTAGTTGTATACTTCCAGGAGAATTTTTTTGTTGATGGTGAGAATATATGATCATAGTCATCATAGCCTTGAGGATCAACTTCCTCTTGATGATTTCTGATTTGACACTTCCATCTGCATTCACTTTGCAAAGAATGCAACAGGGCATTTCCTCTCAAGGTAAAGCTACTGTAACTGTATTTTGACTGCCCTAGTTGTCTATATTGTTAGAACATAAATCTGACATACAAATGCGACTCTGCTTAGTTGTCTGTGTTCTGACTCTCCTCTGAGGTAAAGTATTGCATCATTACATCTGATATTAGTAGGTAACCAGACTTTTTCTGGAATGTTTACTGTGATGTGGAACACATCCAGAATTTCATCTGGTTTTTACTTCCTAGTTTTTTAAAAGCATCAAAAAGGCTTTTCTCTGAGGATTTTTGTAGAGAGCAGCTGTTTAGTTCTACAAGTGCAGAGTTCTATAACTGCATCTCAGTTTATAAAGTTGCATCTAATGTTCTTTTTATTTTTTAATGAACTTTTGATGGTTTTGTCAGGGAAGGTGCACAGAGTTTTGTATATATTCCACAGAAGAAATATGACTGGATACTGGAATGGCCTCAGAAATAATAGTTCAGGGATGTTTCTGTACTTCTTCATATATGTTTGAAGCTTTTCCACGGTGCATTTTTTGTTTGTTTGTTTGTTTTAAAAAAACAACCAAACATATGCAATTACTGTGGGGGTTTTTTTTAGAGAGATCCTTCAATATATTACTGATATTGCCAGCCCACAAGTCTTTTCTTCCTTCTCTGTGTTACAGGTGATGCTTCTCTTCTACCTAAATCTGACCTTTCGCATGCCAATTAAACTAGTTCCTCTGCCAGAATGAATAATTTCTAAAATATTTTTTGAATCTCTTTCTTTTTCCTCTAGCTAGGGGAACAGCAGGAGCTTTCTAGCCAAACATTATCCCTTTCCTACTGGAGAAGAAAAAGAAAAAAACCTAAAAAATAAACAACCCCAAAATCTTAATTGAAAACAAAGACTCTTACTGGGCAACGTATGGGATCAGCTGTAAAATCATCAGGGTAATTTCTTACATCGCACAATTACATGTAGGAAGTGCTTAGCCAATAGCATACTGGATTGATCTTGATTTAATACAGAATGTAGATACTCTAAATAATAATTTCATCTTTAAGCTGAATGTTTAACTTAAGCCCCGTGATTTAAAAACAATAAAAATCACACCCAGCAAACAAAAAACCCCAAACCATGCATAAAAGAGAGAGTGTACATGCCGAGGAGTTTCTTCTCTGTATTTTGGGGGTCTTAGGGGTTTTTTTCGTGAAGTGTTAAAGTCCCACGTACAGTCAGTCCAGTTACGTATGAGTGCTTTATCATTGACAGTTGTGAGAGGCTGTTTGTACAAAGCTTAGCCAGTTGTTCAAGTTGACATTATCTGAATGGAATTAGAGAAGTATTATGAGTATGCGATACAGCTTCAGCATTGTACAGTTAAAGGGATCCTTGTAATGATTTAAAATTTGTCTAAGTCCTCTTTGGAGTGGGTATTAGTAAAACAAATTTGTTAATGAAACTGTCTTAGTTGTTTATACAGATTGAGTTGTGAAACTTCTAAAGCTTTTGTGCGTTAAAAGATGCACAAAACCAGTAGTGGTTTTGATGGTGGTCTTGGCATTACATTTTGTACAAAGTTTCAGTGAATTCTGAATAACGCTTTTAAAGCAGAAGCTGCTTTAACTGAAGAACTTTCAACTGAAGAAAACTTTTGTTTGCATGAAGTCTGTATGGTTTGCTGATAATTCAGATGTTCTGAGAGCACAGCAAGTTCCAGGTATATATCCTCTATGAAACATCTTTATGCATAATCTTTTAACCATTTTCCTTAGTGAGACCAGAACCTGAATTGCTGATGTGTATTGCATTTGCACTTAAATACCTGATTTCAGAATGTGTTAAACCTTGATCTATTTTTGATAAAAAAGAAATGTAGCATTTTTATCTAATTTCCATTTAATGATAAGTATATTCATGCAAAGAAAAACATATAATCGTGGCTCGATGCAGTGATTTTAAGCCAAGAAAACAGCAGGATGGCAGTAGTAAATCTGAAATGAAGATGCATGTCTCTTCAGAAACTCTGGCTTCTGGTTTCTTTCCTCCCTCTTTTTACCAAATTGGTGTCTCCATTATTCCAGAATTATACAGGTGAAGCAAGGACCAGAACTTTTACTCTTTGTTTTTTTTAAAAGTGAACATTTGCTTTTGCCTGGAGTGTCTTTGCCCTGTCACTTCATTTTTGGGGAGATAGAAGGGGGTCAGTTAAATGAGAAATGTAGAGTAAGTATTTTTAATTAAAATCAGATTTAAGCTATTAATTATTTTTAAATTCTCTATATTAATAGAGATCTAATGAATGGAAATTAAAGGCCTATATTGCAAATACTGAGCAGTGCTTATATATTTTTAACAAAATCAGTATATATATGAATATTTGAAACGTGCGTAAAGGTGCAAATTGGAAGATTGTTCTTGTGTTGATAGGTTTATAAATTGAAATTCTTACTATCCAATACCAAAACCCTATAAAAGGGCTAATGAAAAGAAAATGTCATGTATTCTGATGAACAGCCTGTGTAATACAATCAATGGGTGTGATGTTTTGTTCTGTATTATATTTATTATATGTAAGTAAACAATAAAGATTATAAATCTTATTTTCTTAACAGGAGTTAGTATTTGGTTGGGGTTAATGCTTAAAGTTTTTTATACCATCAGTTAAGAAAAAATGAATGGTCACTAAGCATGGGCTGCCTCGGGAGAATAGCGTAGTGGTAAAAAAGTCTTGAATTGACCCACTTAATTCCCCTCTTCCACCCTTAAAAGGGAGTCTCAGGATGTCTCGTTTTACCTGAAGTCAGCTAGGATGCCAGGAAGTTATAATTTGGTCTTAGATTGGTCTGGGAATTTAAGCAGTAAAATATCAATTTTTAATCCATTTTCATGGCTCCAGGTGACTTTTACTTGCTAATGCATGAATTAGAAAAGATCCAAGAAGACTCTTTCATCAGCAGGGGGAGCTACTGTAGTATCCTGCTATATGTTGCATTCCGGAACTCCAGTGTAAGAAATTATGTAAGCGGTAAAAAGACAATTAAGTTACCTGTTTGTCATCCTTGATTGCTGGAGTTAACCAGGACTAGGTACTGACCTTTCCTCATGCAGCTGAACTTTCAGAGTCTTTTTAATTAAAAAAATCTTATGGGGATGATAGGTATTTACCTAAATACTTTTTCTAATGCTTCTATTAAGTATTTTCCTACCATAGGCTTTTCTGAGAGTTCTGGATTACTGACAGCTGAATACTGTTTACTGATAAAACCAAAGTTGCTGCACAGCTGTAGCAAGAAGCAGATTTTTACAATAAAACAAGGGGATACTGGCTTCCAAAGAAACGATAGTTTATGACCTCAATGTGAACTCTTTCCTTTCTTCCCCTCATTTTTGCCCCTCTGCTCCCAACCCCTACTGTAATCTTATGTGAAAGAAACCCCAATCCTAGTTTCTGGGTTTGCAAGCTTTAAGGACTTTTGGTAGCGTTTTCTGCTGTGTTACAATTTTCTGTGGCATGAAGATATTCATACTATAAAGATTCCTTAAGTATCTAAATAGGCTCTTCTTTGTGGGAACCTTCCAGTGTTGTGTCATTTACTAGGCTTCTTTGATTTAACTGCTGGTAATGCTGGTAATGATGATGAAAAACTCATGATTACCTTGCAAGTGTGCATTTACACAATGCAAAGGAAGCTTCATAAGCATAAAGGAGCATTCTGTCTATCTGTAACGGTGTTCCCATTTGGAAAGAAGATCATCTGCCAGTAGATCTATTTTTTTCAATCCCGTTGGAAGGATAATAAATAATTTTTTTTTTAAGAAATCGAGTTATAAGCAGATGGCTTTTGTGGCTGTGATGTTGCAGGTAAACAAGCAAGCAATGCCCCAAGACAGGTTTCTGGCCATGGGACGTGATGATCTGAGAGGAATGGGAGATGAGGAGGAAGCTTGATGGGAGGACCACCCGTGAATGGAGCTTGGTCTTATGCAACCTTTCCCCAGGTCTTCCTTGCCTTTTTATGTATTTCCTTACTCACAAAGGAATATACAGAAGACTCTTCTCACTGATTGAGAGGACATCATTAGTTCATACTATAAATATTTAAAAATATTATGGAAGTGTATTAGTAATTTAACAACTGTTGTTAGAAACGCGTTTTGACAAAAGTGCTGACACTGACTTCTGCCTCCCCTCTTCACTGAGGTAGAAGCTGATACATCTCCATCTGTCACTCTTTTGCATGTGACTGTTTTTCCCCATAATTTGCATATGATCAGCCACCAGTGAATATGTCTTTACTTAAGTAGCTGGTGCTGTCTAACTGAAGTGGCTCTTTCATGTATGCAGGAAGTGCTTAAAAATGGAGTTGGATTCATTACCCTTTGTGCAGGAGTGCGTTGACCACAGTGAATTTCAAGTGTAGGAAGAGAAGCTCCTGAATAATATGTTCCTAGAATAGGGTAACAGAGTGTCTCACCAAAGTATTTTCTCAAGGAAATGGTTATGGACTAAGCCAGGGTCCTTTCTGAGATGCAGAGGGGCAATCGGGACCAGCCTAACCTAGAGAAGAAAAGAACAAAAGTGATCATCTACCAGGAGCAGATGCAGAGCGATGGTAAGGGAAAGAACGGCCCTTCAGAACTGGGAGGAGATGCATAATGGAGTTCCAGTAAATGAGGTAAACCTAAGCTCTTGCAAAAGGAATCAGCCTGAGTTGAAATTATTTCTATCCTTGTCTGTTCCATTTGTACTTGAGGTTAGAGAATGAGGTGGAGCTCTTCATAAAGCTTCAGGACAGAACAATTTTTGAGAATCTTAACTGTTCTGTGAATAGTGGATGAATAAGCTTCAAATTCTGATGGATTAGAAGTTCCAAAACGCTCAAAAACTTAAATGTTTTTAAGTGTTTAATTAGTTTAAAAACTATTAATTTGCTTTTAAGGGTCTAACTGATATAAAGGTTTGGTGGCACAGTCTGTCATGAAATAATACTAATGTCGCATTGGCTCCCTCCCAAAGTAATTCCTCAAAACACTTAGTTAACGCTTTTTATGGAGTGTGTCTGCTTTCTGGCCCTGGTCTGCCATTATACCTGCCAATCTACCTCCTTCCTTTGCAGATGATTTCTAAAACTGCTACATCTATGTCTCTCTTCATAAATTCTTCATTTTTCTCTTTTTTTTTCTATCACAGGTTTAAAAAAAGACTGTTCAATGCTAAATTGTTTGCAAAATTGGCAGCCGAGGCATCCTAGCAGTATGCCTGCTAGGCATGAAGAGGCACAAGTACAGAGGAGCTGAGAATACTGGCTTTGCATATTTCTCCTCACATACTGGACTGTTTAAATCTGAAGATGTACATTGGCCTTGAAGTGTATCTTCAAGAAAGCTCTTAACAACGCTTCTTGTTTTGCATAACAATATTTGGGAGCTTGTTCTACATTTAGAGAACGTTTTGCTTAGTTTTGTTTTCAGTAGAGGATAGCAGCTTCAAGGTAAAGGTTGCTGTGTGTAAACTCAACACAAAATGGACTCTAAAGAAACTCTGCAGTCTTACAGT